CAACTTCCCGAGGAGTACTCGAATAATTATTATAAATTATAAGAAGACGCACGCCCCCACCTGATCGAATACTCATTGCGCACTGCGACGCCAGATCCATAACGAAGAGAGAAAAGGAACAAGATAGAGAGAGAGACAGCACAGAGAGAAAGAGCGAGCGAGAGAGGAGAGAGACACACAAATAGAGCGAAAAGAGAGAGAGAGAGAGCCGAGAGAGAGATGATAGAGGGAAGAGGGAGCCCCCAAACTTCCGCAGCGTGCGCTGCACCGTAACTCTATGGTGACGTCACAGAGGCCATGTTCTGTGGGCCACGACAGGTAGAGACGTGGCGAGCGTGAAGTAATGCGCCTCCAGGCACGCCACACTTTGCCGCTGCTGCAGGTGGAACATGGCCGCCCCCATGTCGCGCTCGCTCTCCGCACCGTCCGAAACCGTCCCATCTCATTGGTAAACTTCGGGCTAAAGATCCAGGTGAGATGCTGCGTGAGCGCGACAAACTGATTGTATATTTATTATTATTATTATATACTATAAATATTTTATATATACATATTTTATATATCAGGAGTTTAATAATGACAAAACTTTAAAAAATAATGATAAAATAATTAAATAAATAAAAAAAATAAAAAAAATAAAAAAATAAAAAACATTATCCAAAAAACATCCATCCATAACATAAAAAAATATTAGTGCGTGCGTGATCATGTATGTGTGAGCGTGTGTGCGCGTGTGAGCGTGCGTGCGTGATCATGTATGTGTGAGCATGTGAGCGTGTGTGCGCGTGTGAGCGTGCGTGCGTGATCATGTATGTGTGAGCATGTGAGCGTGTGTGCGCGTGTGAGCGTGCGTGCGTGATCATGTATGTATGAGCATGTGAGCGTGCGTGCGTGAGCGTGTGTGCGTGCGTGCGTGTATGCACGTGTCTGTGTGTGCGTGTGTGTATATGCGGTGAACATACCAGAACAAGCACGCGTTAACCCCCCGTCGTTGCTTCCTGCAGGAGCAAGGACTGGAAGGAGGCGGCTTACTGGTACGACGTCGCGATCAACACGGAGGATCCGGACGAGAACGGGGAGTTCAACGCGACAATGGACGACCCCGTCTACCAGCTGCAGGCGTCGCAGGCCGAGATCTGGCACAAGGGAGGGTTCGGCCTCGAGAAGGACCCCAGCTACGCCGGTGCGTGTGCGGAGCAGCCCACAATTACGCTCGCTTAACGAGCCGCGAAGCTGATGACATGCTATCACGCACTCGCTTAACGATGACACGCGCTCGCTTAACGAGCTGCGAAGCTGATGACACCCTATCACGCGCTCGCTTAACGAGCCGCGAAGCTGATGACACCCTATCACGCGCTCGTTTAAGGATAAGTTCAGGGTTGCAGGTGAAACTTGGTCAGAATTTTAATACCCATTTTGTCTGATAGATGGCGCCTCCGGGCAGCTACGTAATAATAGATTATTATGTCTGTGGTCTCCCAAACAGTTTGAAATCCCCGCATATGCTTACCAGAAGGACCCCAGTTACGCCGGTACGCCGGGCGATTGCAGGCTGGCTTAAACCGACTATCTCACGAATAAATCGGAAAAACTGCATAAGTGCAGACAAATTGGGGTCTCGCCTGTTAACCGACTCTTTACTGATTACTCCTGCACAACAATTTCCACAAATTTCTGCGTACAATTTTATACCCCAGCTACGCGGGCACGCGCGTAGACGCATGATTATGTGCTCGCCTAACGAGCTGCGAAACAGACGTTTGTAGACGAGCCAATCACGCCGTCGAGTCACTGTAGAGCTGTGCACCCCTAGAGTAGTTGTTCTCGCCCGCCCGCCCACAGATGTAGCAACAACGAAGTTGTTTTTTACATAGATGAACACAGGCAACAAAAAAACAAACAGACGGCAACGATGGCAATGATAATGATGCAGATATGGATGGTTAACACAGCTAATCCAGCTATAAAAGTGTTTCACGACTGTCGAGGCGCTGTCAAAAAACTTTAGGCACTGTTTGCTGTCGAAACATATAACTGCATTAAAAACTTCTACGACGGGCGAAGAAGAAAGTGCGACAGTGTGATTTCTAATCGAGACATTTTGCTCCATCGAAAACTTTTTGACGGGCGAGACAAAGAAGGGCGACTGTGATTTCTAGCACAGCTAACGCAGCTATCGAAGTGTTTCACGGCGACAAAAACTTTTCGAAGCATGTAACTGCATTAAAAACCTCCTGCAATTGGCAAAAAAATATGCACGACTGTGGTTTCTAATCGGTCGCGTGTTGAACACAGATGGCAACGATGACAACAATAACGATGCAAAAATCGATACTTAACGCATCTAATGCAGCTATATAAGTGTTTCACGGTTGTCAAGAGGCATTTTGTTTTGTCAAAAACTGCTGCTGTCGAAACATATAACTGCATTAAGAACACCTACGACGGGCGACAACGACGAAGAAAGTGCGATTGTGATTTCTAATCGGTCGCGCGTGTTTTTTTGCCGACAGGTGAGTTGTACACGGCGGCGGCGGAGGCGGCCATGACAGCGATGAAAGGTCGGCTCGCCAACAAGTATTACGCGCTCGCAGAGGAAGCCTGGGCCGACGTAGAGGAGTAGGAGACAGAGAGAGAGAGAGAGCGAGAGAGAGAGAGAGAGAGAGAGAGAGAGAGAGAGAGACCGCTCTCCTTAGCAGGAGTAGGAGACAGAGAGAGAGAGGGCCGCTCTCTTTAGCAGGAAGAGTAGGAGCGAGAGAGAGAGGGCCGCTCTCCTTAGCAGGAAGAGTAGGAGACAGAGAGAGAGAGACCGCTCTCCTTAGCAGGAGTAGGAGACAGAGAGAGAGAGAGGGCCGCTCTCCTTAGCAGGAAGAGTAGGAGCGAGAGAGAGACAGAGAGAGAGGATCGCTCTCCCTCGTGGGATCGACTGTGCACTGTCGTGTGCGACGGACCACGTCAGAAATCGGCTCCCAGCTGGCATATGCCGTTAATATTCTGTCGAAAATGAGTGTTATTTTATCGCTGCCCCCTAACGATGACGTCAGGAGAGCGTGCTTGCGGATTCGTCTGCCGTCGCGCACGCTTTCTGATAACGTCTGCTGCGTGGGTGCGCGTGTACGGCGATTGACGCGAAAACATTTCGTTTGTCTTTCTTATCTATATCCCCCGCATTGCGAAATGCTGCGTCAGCATTAAATTGGAAACGAGATACCGTATTGCAGACGGTGCAGTATTTTTTGAGGAGCGTGGATATGTAGGGCGTCTGTAAACCTCGTTGCTATGGGGGTGGGTACGCGAATCTGTTGCTAGGCCGATCGGTTTTCTGGTTGCTAGGCAACAGTGAAGCTGCTCGTCACCAGGCGAAAGGTTTACCGCGATGCAAGCCTACTTCGTTTTTATTTTTGTTTCTTAGACGACGATGACGTTGGTTAGAACCGTCTGGACAGTTAAGTATGGCTGTTCTCTGGTCTGTCATCACCCCCTATTTAGTTTACCGCCATTGTGTGTCGAATCAAATCCGTACACGTGCACCTGCGTAGATAGAATTCGTATATATTATACATATATACACGTTTGGGGGAATAGTTGGGACAGCGATATGGGGGTCTCTGTGCGATATTCTACTGTTTGTCTATTTGGTTGATAAGTAACTACAGTGTGTGTTAGCATTGCACGGGGGAAGTTTGAAGAAATAAGTGAGATGGGTAGTTAGATGGAAAGATGGCGAGAAGTGTGCATTTATTGAACGATTATGGCGCACTTTTATTTAGATGGGAGTGTTCGTGTGTAAAGAAAACAAAAACATAAAATGATATTTATTTTATTACGCGTGGCTGTGAGTGAGTGACAAGGTAAAATTGCATCACGAGGCACTACGTCGTCGTTGTGCGTTTTACTTGTCCGTGTTATTTTAATACGCTTGCGATTTACAATTTACGAAACTTAAGCTGTTTAACGAAAGCAATTTTCGCTGCCTTCAATTATATACCGTGTGTATATTGATTTTCTTTGTGGTTTTTTTCAGCCATTATACTAGAATGTCCGTAAAGTACTTGTGTAAGGTTGAATTTTTGTCGGCAAGAAAGAAGCGCGTGTGTAGTGTTTAGGGAAAGCAGTGGAGCAACACTGGCACTAATCATTTATATACGAACAGCGTGACGAAGTATTTTGTTGAAGGAAGATTTGTCGTGACACTTTGCGGGATGGCGGTAGTCACGACGAGGGGGCGTTGCGATCGCAATCCCTCCCTGCAAAACTTGCCGGATTTGCCGATCCGGGGTGCCGTTGCCGGAAACAAAATTAAGTCGTAACGTCAGTCCTAACGTTAACTTTTCCTCGTAGACCAGCACTCTTTACGCTGCGTATGAGAAACTTCATGATGTTTCTGTCCACAGGCAACGAGACAAAGTTGAGATTGAGACTGACGTTAAGAATTATTTAGTGTCTGTCTACGGTTTACGAGACAAAAGTTAATGTTAAAACTAAGTTTGTTTCTGACAACGGCGCCCCCCCCCCCCGTGCGTACGTACGACCAATGAGCAAGGCCCGCTCACGGCAGGTGGGTGACGCGAGGTGTTCACATCTAATTAGGACGCTAACGAGCGGTGTGACGGGATGGGAGCACGGTGACAGGTGACATCGGTGACATGTGACGTCGCAGTGTGCCTACTCCGATGACCGACGATGGTCACTCACCTGGTATCCGTCGATGCAATTTAGGTTTACCTTATTCTGGTACCGCGCGGATCGGTGGCGGGAAGATAAAGGCACGCGTTATGTGGTAAATGCGAACACAAACTAAAGTGATCGACTATTGGTAGAAGCTCACGTTGCATCTTCTGATAATGCGCCGACTCACTCCTCACTCTGTTGAGGTTGGAGAATTGTATTCCCGAAAAAAAAAAGTATACATATATATATATCGCAGTAGCTATGGTGCCGTGTGTATTACCACCCTCTACACTATTATATATTGTATTCTGAATGAGAGGCAGTGTATTTAATCAACTGTTGATCTTTCGGTGTGTGTGTGAATGTAACCACGAGTTGTTCGTGTCGCCGTGGATGTTCGGAAGAATTGAGTGTTTGATCGGTGAAGGTGATTTCCTTAAGGGAGTGTGTTTAGTAGAGCGATAATAAGGTGCGGGACTGCTGTCGATTCGCTTGCGATTTATCTTTTACATTCGTTGTTCCGGCAACTTGCAGTGAGAAAGGTGACTAACGCACGAGTCGGCTGTCTCGGCCCGACTACACGCTACTAAACGCAGTTGCGCTTGTGTGTTTCGTGTCTTACATGAAAAAAACTTGTATGCAGTCGTGTGAACTCGCTTGAATACAAAGTCCTCACTTTATTATATCATCGTGTCCCCCTTCCTCCCGAGTAGATAGCTGTATGAACAGGCTGTATGCTGTGTGGGGGTTGTAGGTGTTGGGGTTAGGTGTTGGCTTGGTAGTGGTGTTCTATTATGACGTAGTCTAGTTGGTTCATGCAACGAGGAAGTTGTTTGATTTGTTTCGTTTCACATCCGTGTTGTTCGATTACATTGCTTACAAATACCGTGTGACGTGTTAGACCTAGCATAGAAGGGTCGGTGCAGTTTGAATTTTGTTGTAAGGGAAAAGAGACGGAGCTGGTTTGGTGAAAAGTATTACTTACGCAGTAAGGCTTAGACGAAGACGTGCTAGTGTGATGTGGTTTCGATGAGGAGAGTTGATATTTAGGATTTTCGCAGTGTTTATTATTCCGTCTACGAGTGGACGCGAGCGTTGGAAGTTTTCCTTCGTACGTTGTGGTCAGAAGAGATAGTAAGGTTCAAGTCCTGCTGTTTGATGTGCGGTTAGCACGCACGCATGCGTGTTAGGATAATGACGTAACTTGTCGTTCTATCTGTACGTGTTTACAGTTCGGTAGCCGATGCGCGAGATTGCGATATTATTTCAGTGCCGATGGAGCCGTGTCGTTGTTCCGATGGGTTCAAGCCTCGTTGAAACGCCTGGCAGACTACTGTACCATGCTGCGCGTGATACACTTTCTGCCAGGGTTCAAGCCGGGCATTGGCCAATCAACTTACCGCAAAGTTTTCCAGCTCATTTCCTTTCCACCGGTTCCCATATTCATCCTGGTAAATTTCTGTTTTCCTTTCCTTCAGGTTTCGTGTTAAGACTGTGATATGGGTTTTCCGCGCACGCGCGTGAAGTGCCCCTCATTTAGACAGCAAAGGTGCTGGAGTACGTGGTAGTGGTGATGGTCGGAGTTGTTGCCACGTCAATAATGCAAGCGTGCAGCAGGGAAATGAGCAACACTATTTGCAAAAATTATCCCAAGCTCTTTTCGGCACTGTTTTTGCTTGTACATTGTGTATGTGCGTGTGTGTGTGTGTGTGTGTGTGTGTGTGCGCGCGTGTGTGCGTGCGTGTGCGTGTCAAAGAACGATGTAGGTACGTGTACATAATATATTTTTAATGAAGTAAATCGCCTGTTTTCGTGTGTCGTTTGGTTTTCACTCTCCTTCTCGTTTAAATCGGAACAACTGGGACAGACCGGTATGTTGCTCAGGCAGGCGGTACGTACGCTAGCTACACATAACACCCAGTTATCGTTATTCTAAGCTCCCGGCTGAATTGCTACCAACGAAGCAAGGCCAAGGCCGGTGATTGACTCGGGGGAGGGGGGGGGGAAGTTGGACCAAAGTCACAATCTGGGAGGATGATAAATGGGCTTATTGCTCAAGGCTAGGTGCGGCAATGGAAAATATCTGGCTGCTATCTGACGGGAATGTGTGTGTTTGAGTACTGCACCTAATTGGTAAACACCAACGCACTTGTGTTCAATACAAAAAAATACGTTTTTTTTTCAACGCAAACAGGGCAATTACAGGATTTGTACACGTAGACGTATAAGTAAACAGCTAGCTTCCATATCGCCGCCTGTTGACAAATAGATCTTTACAGCTAGCCAAGGTGTTACCGTACCTCGATGAACACACCCAAAAAAACTATCAAAACGCCCTCACAAACAGTAAACATATGACGCAGGCTTGACACCCAAGTCGCACCGCACCTACCTGCTATTTCAACCCCCCCCCCAACTTTCTACGAATGCGTAATTCGATTACGAAAACGAATGTATTGTCCTTATTTACACCGTTGACCATGGTTTGTACCAACAACCTACGCTAGTACTGCCTGCAACGTAAACTACGTACTCCGTAGCTTAGACCTCCTGATCAGTTTAAATATATCACAACGACTGCAGACACGACCCGTACGGACTACAAATTAATTACAACATGTACAATCTACCGTGTTACCGTTCGCCACGAGTATCTGCGTGTGTGTGTAACTCGTCGTGTCCGCAGCGAAGTGTAATTTACAGCTTTTACATAATCGCTAATGTCGAAAGAATTCGTCGAAACGCCCAAATATCGTCACGGGAACGACAAGACTACTTGACCTTGAATACAAGACTACATGACCTTGAATACACGACTACTTGACCTTCTCCCAATCGCCGTCGACCGTCGGCCCGTCGGAGGAACACTCCGGACTGCTGCGGCGACGGGGGCTGCTGCTGCTGCTCGGGACGTTCTCGTTGCCGCGGAAACGCCGTTTCGTCTGCTCCAGCATCTTGTAGGCGGCGGAGAAGGTGACCCAGGAGGCGGCGACGAGGGCGACGAGGGTGAAGGCGAGGATTCCGACGACGGCGACGGCGAGGGTCAGGATCACGGTGCCGACCGTCAGCAGCGTGCCTGCAACGACGAGAGGGAAACACGGAGATCAGGTTAAACCCCCAACGTTACGCGCACGCAGATAAACGAAACAAGAGAGAGAAACACGCGGGATGTCAAGGTTAAACCCCGAAAGTTAACGTGCGCGCAAGAGCGAACGAAAACCAACGATACGAGAAACACGGGATCAGGTGTAAACCCCCAACACGTTACGCGCAACGCAGACGAACGAAACAACGAGAGAAGAAAAACATCGGAGATCAGGGTTAAACCCCAACGTTTGACGGCGCACGCAGAACGAACGAAACAACGAGAGGAGAAACACGGGGAGATCAGGTTAAACCCCCAAACGTTACGTAACACGCCAGACGTAACAAACAACGACGAGAGAGAAACACTGAGATCAGGTTAAACGCCCGAAACGATACGCGCAACGCAGGACGAACGAAACAACGACGAGAGAGAAACACTGAGATCAGGTTATAACGGCCCCAACGTACGTGGCACCGCGCAACGAACGAAACAACGAGAGAGAAACACGGGGTTATGCAGTTAAACCCCAACGTTACGGCAGCGCAGATAACGAACAACGAGTAGAGACAACACGGGCATCAGGTTAAACCCGCCAACGTTACGTGCGGCGCAGACGAACGAAACAACGAGAGAGAAACACGGGATGCAGGTAAACCCCCAACGTTACGCGGCCACGCAACGAACGAAACAACGAGAGAGAGAACACGGAGATCAGGTAAACCCACCAAACGTTACGCGCACGGCAGACCGAACGAAACAACGAGAGAGAAATCACGGGGATCAGGTTAAACCCGCAACTTACGTACACCAGACGAACGAACAACGAAGAGAGAGAAACACTAGATAGGGGGTTAACCCCGAACGTTACGCGCACGGCAGACGAACGAAACAAACGACCGAGAGAGAAAACACTGAGATCAGGTTAAAACGCCCGCAACGTTAACCGTGCAACCGCGCAGTACGAACGAAACAACGAGAGAGAAACACGGGATCAGTTAAACCCCAACGTTACGTCACGCAGACGAAGCGAAACAGACGAGAAGAGAGACACGGAGATCAGGTTAAACCGCCCAACGTTACGCGCCACGCAGACGACACGAAACAAACGAGAGAGAAACGCAGAGATCAGGTTAAACCCCTCAACGTACGCGCACGCAGACGAAACGAAACACGCAGAGAGAAACACGGAGAACGGTTAAACCCCCAACGTTACGTGCAGCGCAGACGAACGAAACAACGAGAGAGAAAACACGGAGAACGGGTTAAACGCCACCAACGTTAACGCAGCCGCCGTCGGCAGCCGAACGAGAACAAACGAGAGAGAAACACCGGGGATGCGAATTAAAACCCCCCCAAAGCGTTACGGGCGCGACGCAGACAGAATGAAACAAGCGAGAGAGAAACACGGAGATCAAGGTTAAACCCCAACGGTTAGCGTGTACGCAGCGAACGACAACAAACGAGAGAGAAACACGGGATCGGATTAAACCCCCAACGTACGCGACGCAGACGAAAACGAAACAACGCAGAGAGAAACACGGAGATCAGGTTAAACCCCAACCGTTACGCGCGCCCATGCGACGAACGAAACAAGAGAGAGAAAACACAGAGATCAGGTTAAACCCGCAGTCCCCAACGTTACGCGCACGAGCAGACAAATGAACACGGAACGAGAGAGAAACACAGAGACAGATTTAAACGCCCCAACGTTACGTGGCGCGCAGAGAACGAAACAACGGAGAGAGAAACACAGGATCAGGTAAACGCCCCACGTTTACGTATTGCCGCGCAGACGAAGCGAAACAACGAGAGAGATAACACAGAGGATCAGGTTAAACCCCCGAACGTTACGCGCGCAGCGCGCAGCCAACGAAACATACGAGAGAGAAACACGGAGATCTGTTTAACCCCCCCCCCCACCGACGTTTGGCGCGCGCTAGCAGACAAAATAAACAACGACTAACCATCGATCACCAACGGTCTGAAACGACAAGAGAACAGAACGAAGGTAAAATTACATGGCCACAACAAACAAACCAAACAAACAGACAGACCAGACAGACAACAAAACAAACAGACAAAAACATAACAGACATAAGACAATGACGCACAAACAACGAATAGACAATGACCGACACTGAAGACATAATAATGACAGCGACGAACAATGACAGACATAAGACAATGACAGCGACAATGACAGCGACAAGCATAATAGACAACTGACAGCGAACAA